AGCATACTTTTAAATTTGAGATGACTTTGTACACAACCGATCAAAACGCACTAAAAGTGTTGTTTCTGTTTAGGGGCTGGGAACAAATAGAGGTGACCTGTAGTCCCTACTTGAAGGAGACCCCAAGCTCTCAGTGGAACATTGAGGACCATATTAATCCAAAATGTATGATCAATTCATTCATTCCTATTTTGTGTTTGCACTTCTTGATGTCAGACAGCAGCTAACATGTTGTGTATTGTGTGTTCTGGCAGTACCCAACATTAGTCTGTCTGTGCTGAAGCCCAATTTTCTGGAAATCTTACTGGAGTCCCATATTGTTATGTTTAGAGTAAGTAATAATAAGAGAATAAATCAGCTCATCTGCTTTAAAAGAAAGTGCATCTTCATTTCTTTTCATTTTATTTTATTGTCTTTTAGGGAAATAGTGGCTTAAAACCCAAAGACAATGAGATGAATTCCAAACCTTGGCACTGGCCAATCAACTACCAGGTACTTTAAATATAAATAACTAAAATTATTTTTTTAATATCTTTTAACTTCATGTCATTTCTTTCCGTGAAGGGCTTGAGGTTTTCAGGAGTAAATGCAACAGAGTACCGCGTTTACCTGCTGGGGAACCCTGTAAGTTTGTTTTTAAGTTTTCATGCTTACAATCTCATTTAACCAGCAGATCAGTGTCCTCATGGTGAAAATGGTTTTCAGGTGGTGTGGTGGATAAATCTGGCCAGTTTGGGGTTGTATCTCACCATGGTGGCGGTGGCTTCCATAGCCACCCAAAGAGGTTTTTCACTGGGCCAACAAAGAATAGGTATGGTAAATAATGGTGCCTTAACAGTATGTGTTTGCATAGTGACTTTAAATAAAGCGTTATTGTCCTGTGATTCAGAGCATTCTCTTGTGCTTGTGAGAGGAGGTGGACTGCTGATGCTCGGTTGGCTCCTGCATTATGCACCTTTTTTTACCATGGGTCGTATCCTCTACTTTCACCACTACTTCCCTGCAATGCTCTTCAGCAGCATGTTAACAGGTACCAAACTGTGCTGGACTTCTGTATTCCAACTATAACGTGTAGAGGGGAGTGCAGGGGTACAGAAGTGAAGTAGAAGCCACACATAAGAACCTTTTTTCAGCAGGTTTGGTGGGTGAAAGTGTCGCCAATACTTCACTTACAGCTTACTTCACTTAATGGCTTGCATTAGAGTCAACAGTGTTTAGGACACAGTTATCTCAGTTTTGCATACTTGACAGACAGTTTTTGCAATTTTGGTTAAATTATTGTGGTTTTTTTCCTCCAGGACTGACGTTAGACATCCTTTTCAGAAGTGCTGACCTTCTACTCCACCCACCTTATTCCTATTGGTTCCAGCGAGCTGGGCAGCTGCTGCTTCTGTTTAGTATTCTTTACAGGTGAGCTGAGTACTATGAAGAATCAGCTTGTTCTTAACACTGTCAGAAACCGCCTATCAGTACTGTGAGGTATCTGCTACATAATGTAGTTCCTTATGATAGTCCAACTATTGTTTTATACTTTGATTGATGCTCTTGATGGTCCTAATGGTTTAATTAGCCATGAAGTTCTTGTAGCAGACTGTTTGCTGTGGATGAAAAGATTATGGATTATTAAAGGATTGTTATTGTTTTGTTGAGAGTTAATGACAAGATTAATACCTACAGTCCATCATGATTGATAAATCATTTAAGTTAAAGGAAGCAGGTGCTCTTAATATGCTATATATTGTCATGTATATCATGTAGATGTAATACAGTTTTCAAGTTTGGATGGACTATCATACAGATATTCTAATAGGATTACAACCTTCTCATCTGGCTCTCAGAAAGAAGCTTCTCTGCTAATTCTTACTAAATATTAAAAGAATAATTACACTGAACTTCTTGCTGCTGTGACTTTAGATCTCATAGCCCATTTTAGCACAAGAATGGAAGTATTTCATCTACTTAGTGTAACTGACTGTGATCCATTCACTGTCTGTCAGTTTCTACCTGTTTCATCCGCTGTCCTATGGCATGACGGGTCCACTAGCACACGAGCCGGGCAGCGCCATGGCTGATCTGAAGTGGATGGACTCCTGGGAGTTCTAGTCTGCTTTGCAGGAAGATGACACTAATGATGTGACTTGCACCTGTTCTGAGTATAAGGGACTTAAAACTGACAGAGTAGTGTTTGCACAAAGAAGTGATTCTTAAAAGGTACTGACTGAAATTCTACGTGTCTTAGTATTTGTGTCACAGCATTTGCACCTGACGTTGTCTATCATGCATGAAGAATGCTTGTTAAGGCAGACCTAACTCAATGCAACGTGAAAGCCCGATTGTGGTGTAAGTGGGAATCTTAACTTTGTCTCTGAGAGGCCTTAACTAACATCACAACTTCTGTTCCTAGATTTAACGTGTACTGTAATTCAAAAGAATAAGCTAAAGTGCCTGAAAGGAAAAAGTTTCTAAAAAGTAAGTTTTAAAGGTTTAAATGCTACATCTCCCTGATTTTCGTTTTTAAATTTTGTACAGTTAGAAACTATTAGACTGTATTTTGATTAGGGATTTTCTGATTTTACTCATTACTTAGTATTTTGGTACTGTATTTAGCCATTAGTGCTGTGTGTTACACACTATTTTTATACTATGTAAGACTATTACTCTGTTTACATTTTAATGTGATCAATAAACAGTGATACTGCATTCTGTATCTATACATGTAAAGTTTTCTACATTTTTGAAGTTGAAGGAAACCTTTAAATAGTTTTTATGTTCTGTACAATAACATGAAGCATGTCTTTACTAGACATGGTATTTTCAGTGTTGATAATTAAAATATGATTGACTACTTGAGATATCCCCAAAAGCTCAGAAATGTTTAGAAATCTGATAAAAGTCATAGAGTTCAAAAGATCATTCCAGTAATATCCATGTAAAAACATAAAAAGTAACACTGCAACAACTTGATATTGGTCCCCTTGAAAATAATTACATATAATATAATACATTGCTTTGGTTGCAGGTGTATAAACATATTCCTGTGCTCCCCCAAAGTTATATTGTTAGTTTAAATGTAGGAACCGAAGTCACCCCGACCCAAATATAACCGTCAGTTACTTAATGTTCGTTGTATTTTTTTCTGACTTGAACTTAATGCTGGATATAACAATAAACCGGCGGGCCGCCTGGTGGCGTGTTTCTGAAGTACACCACATACACTTGTCAGAGCTGCTGCTGCCGCTGCCATTGGCTGTCGTTTATCACGTGATTATTGTGAAGATGGCGTCTCCAAATGGAGGTAAATTCTAATTCTTTACCCTGCGACGCTGTGTATAAAATGTAAAATTGAGATCTTTAAGCACATTAAACCGTTAAGAACTATAATCCTGTTTTATTTGAAGACCCACAGACGACAGAATACGCATGTTAGTGCCGTATTTTTGCTGTTTGGACATGTTTTTCCGTTGGCTAAAGCCCTCACTAGCCCCGGTGTTCGGTCCAGTAAATGGGGAAGAAGAGCGGGTAGCAAGCTTGAATTCGTTCGTGTAGTCTGACTCAGAGCTGAAGCTGTGCATCCTGCTAGCTAAAATATTAGCTGTTAGTTACTGCTGTACTACTAACAGGTTAAATCATCCCTCCTTAGACCAGTTTCATAACAAGTGTAGTGTTTTTGTTTTGGTTGTATTGCTTTCTTCTTCTTTTTTTTCCCAACGTTTTTTTTCTGTGTTGTACATCTCGTTATTCTTATTACTGGAAGCTGTGTACTTGAAATTGATCATCTTGTATGTTTAACAGTAAAGCACCGTGTGTTTTACAGATGACTGTAGACACTCACTGTTGTACCTCTCTCGTGATTTCATCCATACAAATTGAGAGTAATTTGACCCAAAATTTAACATTGCAATCCATCCAATCTAGTCTTTGTGTAATTTGACATACTTTGACATTTTCCTCAGATGCACATTGCATTCTGTAAATATGCCAGGTTTGGGGGTAATAGCTCTTTGGGTTCCTTGATGTGCGAAATGCTATTTTACATTTTCAGTCCGTGTTATATTTGCCATTTCTTTGTAGATTCAACTGAAGAAATTAGAGAAAATTATGTTTTGCAATTGGCTGCTAGTAACAAATACCTCTTGAGTTTAGTGCTTTTGTATGCTTGAATGAATTCATAAATCGGTGTTAAGTGGTTTGACAAACAATCCTCTGAAAATGGTCAGCTATTAATCATAAGGTGGAAAATAGGGGGGAAAGTAACAAATGGCCAAAGAAAAACTACTAGCCAACACTGGTCAAAGTCTGGCTCAGTGGAAGGAAAATGCAAAGAAATGATGGGTGGCTCAAGACTTTTGCATTGTACTGTACATGACATTAAACATGGAAGAAGATGCCCAAGGCTGTTAAAATAAGGTGTTATCACACAATTTGCCCAACAGATTGGCTCTGACCCAATTTTCTGCCTGTATTGTCACTACTGTGTGCAGGTCATGTTACTGCTGAGCAGATAATGGTGCACAGTCAATCAGTGTTTGTGAAAGTTTGTGAAATACATTGTTGGAAAGCTGGTAAACAGCCCAGCATTTTCCACTTTTTATATAATTGTGACATGCTGTAACTATACATAGACAACTTAATTCTATGTTAATTCTTAAGGCTATTACATCCCTGTAATTTCACTGAAACACCATTCTTGCTAAACATAGATCCTTATCTGTTATTTTTTAATGGAGCGCCTTGTGACTTATCAGTCCAAAATAAGGTTTAGTGACTGTGAGTACCATAGAATCTGATATAGATGGGACCATTGTTATTCTATAATCAAAATAGAATTGTTTTTAATTATATGATAAAGGTGATAATTAAACACAGCTATGTATTGATTTTAGGAGACCCATGTTTTTCTGAACAAGTGAACCCGAATCATGCTGACAAAATTCCCTCCTCATAACAGAGACACTTAAACCCTGCTGGCTACAGTTGAACAAGTATCTAAAAACCACTTATTCAGGATTATTCAGTGTTGCAGGGAGAATGGACCCTATCACAACTGTCACTGGGTGAAAGATACCCAGGGATTTTTTTTAATATATATATATAAAGATGTTTTTACTCTGTAAAAATCCATCCATCTATTTAGTGCCTAGCTCGTCAGATGCCTGAGATGGCTCCTTCTGATGCAGAGGAATATTAGCTCTAAGGAAACACTGAAGCATCATTTTGCCACTTGCATCCACAATGTCATTCTTGTATTCGTCGCCCACAGTTCGTCCCTCGTGGTTACAGTAGGAACATAAATCTACTGGCTCTAATTTGTTTTCTTTGTCTTGATAGGTGATGATTTTGAGTCGTCATTGCTGAGTTTTGAGAAGTTGGATAGAGCATCACCAGACTTGTGGCCAGAGCAGTGTAAGTTTATCTCCTGCTCCTATGTGACTGGTTACCGTAGCTTTTATTATGCATAAACTTTATTATTCTCTGATCTCTCATACAGTACCTGGAGTCGCAGAATTTGCTGCATCTTGTAAAACTGTGAGTTAGATTTAATATGGCTGAGTTTGAGTTACACATTAGAAACATAAATAGGCTTGTCACACTTCATGATGTGTGATCTGTAACTCTTTATCACAGCCCATCTGCAATTCACCTCCAAAATGGATGTCAGATCTGGAGAGTGAGGATATTGAAATGTTGAAAGGTTGGTCCAAATAGCTAAAATTATGGGGTTTTTTTCCAGACAGATTTTTCAATTTACTTGTTACAGTTGGTGTTAAACAGAAAGACTGGTGGACAGAGGCAGACTTAATATATAATCCTGTCAAAATGGTTAACATTTTGCTGAAGTTAGGTTAGCGCTTTTATTATGGGTCTTGTTATCCTTCTGTAGAGCTGGGTAGCCTGACCACAGCCAACCTGATGGAGAAGGTCAAAGGACTTCAGAATCTAGCATACCAACTGGGCTTAGAGGAGTGTAAGTACACAAACAGCACACACATGCCAGTGTACAGATAATCCAGCCTTTAAACCTTTAAAATCACTGAGAGTGCAAAAAGGATGTGGTCACATGTTACCACTAGATGGTGCTCATAGGCCTCTCTTGGGTTTTGCTTCTCTGTCTGGAAGAAGTAACTTCCCAGCATCTTTAAGAATCATAACACTGAAAAATCCTAATAGATTTAAGTTCACGTGGGCCTGTATGCTTTTGTCCAAAGACAGAAAAAAAAAAGAAAATGTAACTTCAACTCCCAAAGCTTGTGTCTAACAGCAAGCATGTTGACCTCAACGCCTTAAATACCGTATTTAGGGTAATATTGGTAAACTTGAATGGTAAGAAAGAAAAGTATGCCCAGAGGAGACAAATGCCTAAGCATTTGATGGATGCAAAATCTATTTTTAATCCATTCCCCCAGTGCCACCATTGTCATAATCCTTGTGGAGTGTGGATTAGAGAGATGTAGCTAAGTGCTCATATTTCCCGAAGAGAAAAATCGGTTTTAATTTTTCCAGTTTAGAAGCATGCAAGTGGTGAAAAACTGTGATATACCCCTGTCATGGCAATACAACCTTAGCATTTTTTTATGTTTACAAATATACATGGAAAGTTTGCTAACTCAATTAAATTACCACCTAAGGGCAAAATGGTCAGATTTTGGCTCAATTACACTAGAAGTGCAGTACTTTGTAAGAGTCAATAAAGACAATCTGAGCCAAATAATGCAAAAAATAATATGGATAGGCTTTGATAAAAATTTGAAAGCAGCACATGTTCAACTGTCTAACAATGTGAGATTTTTAGATGGTTGAGTGATTTTAATGGCAAAGATTTGCTACAATGCTCTCATCTACAAATGTCTGTCGGTACATAAATATTAACAGGGTGCCTGTGCTTTAGTTGCATAAGCCATAACTTTAAAATCTATTTAGTTGAAAAATGTCTGATCTCCCAGCCTTTGCCTAGCATGTAATCTGGCTGGTATAAAGATGTTAGCTGTCATAGGTGCAGGACTGCAGGCTTTGCAATCATGTCATGTACCCCGGGATGACGGGACGCAATGACGGTTATTATTGGTGTCAGAGCAGCCCTGTAATCGGTGCCTGTTTAATGCTCTCTGGTTTAATTTTCTCCTTTTCCGGGCTGTCAGGGGAGGCCTTGTAAATCTCAGCTACTTTTTCATCATGTTTGTGCACTCTTCAGTACCCGTAAACATACTCCGCAGAGGCATGGCAGAGCGAGGGCAGAGGACAGGATTTACTGCCCTCCCCCCTTCAACATGTGGACCATTAAAGTTGGAGCTGGTTAATGGCAGAGCACAATCAAGTAGTGAAAACCCGCCCACCATACTGCAGTGAGAAAGGAGATTTGAACCAGAAATTTCCCTTTTCCTAGAATGCGCTTAAGCAGAATTAGTGTAGGTTTTTGCTTTTTCTAATATTTGTACATATGTATGTAACATGGATATGAGGGGGATAAGGACACACCCTCCTCCCACAAGCAACCCAAAAAAAGGGCTGTGTGATGCTGGCCCAGTTAGTCCCAGAGGGTTTGGCGCGTGCCTATTCCTCAGGCCCCATCTGTTACTCCGCCCCATGATGAATACCCCTGTCGTGGGCCACTGAGCGTGGGCATCAAGCCTGTGGTCTCGAGGGAAAGCTGAGGACTCTGATAAGTGCTGTTATTGGAGGTAATTGAAAGCTGAGTGTTCCTTTGGGATGCACTGAAGGGCCTCAGCTACTGAGACGACTGGTAACACGGCTGCTGGAGCTGGTGGGATTTTGCACTCTCACACTTGTGGCCTCAACTGACTGCCGTTTAACATGTCTTCCCTAGAATGTGTCATTAGTTGTTGTTATTGAAGATTCATATTACACAGAACAACAGAAAATTTGTTGTTGTTGTGGTTGTTGAGTGTTTTCATGAACTTATAACAGTGACATCAGATGTTTCTCAGCAGTGGTTACTATAATATATTCAGAACATGCACCCTTTTAAAGTTTTAAAGTTAACCCTAACTATATTTTCCTCCCTCAAAATTTTGCCAGGCGCTAGAACTAATCAAAATAATTTTGTCATCTCCACATTGTTATAAAAATTGTAAGGAAAAATATCACTTAATTCAATTCCAAAAAAAGAAAAACGACGTGACTCGTTGCCTTCTGGGTGTGCAATCATATGTCGTGGCTTCTGTTGCACCCTGCGTTACCTCTCTCCTGCCATGATGCCACCCAGCACATACCCCGGCCAACTCTGTTGCATCTTCTTGTGTGAAGGTGAGACTGAAGGTCACCCTGCTTTGACAGCTCCTAATGGGGCTTCATCCACCACCACCTCCTCCACACCCTTAGGATCAATCTCCGGCCTATTAGAAGCATGCCGCTGCTGAATATGATTGCATTCACTGGGCCCCACTAGTGCTAATGTGCCTCCATCAATCCATCAGGGCGGGCTGACCGCAGGGCGGGTGGTTATGAAGTACCTCAGCTGACAACAGCTGAATGAGGAACAGAGGATACCTCCCCACCACCGCTACCACTCTTCCTCCTCCTCCTAACCTCTGCTAGTTCCCTGTGCTAGCCTTTTTACCTGTCCCCTGCTTTTCTTTGGTCTCATAGTTAGAATGAATGGCAGCGTTGTGGTGCATCTCATTCACAGTGGCACCTCATGTGTGCTGAAAGTAAAATAAGCATCTAGGATGGTTCAATTCTTACCTTCTTAATCATCTTAAGCACTTAGTACCTGTAGGCTTTCTGTTATTAGCTTTCTGAAATTGGCTCCCGCACAGGCATTGCTAAAATATGGATGGGTTTTATTTCATAACTAGCACTAATAATTATACACGTCATCATTCATCATCTTGAAAACTCTTAAGTAGTTCAACAGACATATTGCAAAAGGCTGACATGAGCATCTCCTTCCATGGTAAGCATGTTGCAGCTGTATCTGACAGAGCTTCGTCATATCTTATACAAGAATCAGTGTTGGGGCTGTGTGAGAGAGGCAGAGCTAACACACAAACACACATACTCACTGCTCCTCAGTCCTGCCTGCCTGCTGCTGCCTCCCTGAGCAGATCGGAAATGACACCTCATTTCCATAAAGGCATTAGGAATTCATTGGATTTTCTTTCCCAGCTAATCATAGTGCGGGTGTAAAACCTTTTAGGCTTTATAATGAATGATTTTTGACTGATTGCCTATTAATAAGGACACCTCTTGAACAGGCATAGGCTGGGGCAGGGGTTGGGAGGTGCAGATGTGTTTGTTTTGGTGTGTGGATGTGTGTGTGTGTGTGTCAGCCGGGCGAAAATGCATTGGAGGAGGAGGAGGGGTGGGCCTCTCTCGGTTGGGACATAAAGAGGAACCAGTGGCTCCCCTGGGAAATCACAGCTCGTGTCTGCATCTTAAATATCCCTGTGAAGTATCAATAAGTGGGTAATTGAATTTTGAACACAAACATGAGCGTCAGGTGTATGTGTAGCAAGGCGGGTGCGTTGGATGAATATGTGTGCCTCCAAGTCCTTCCATGCTTTGAGTGTTTGTGTGTGTCATTTCCTCTGTGTCTCCCTCATCCCTGGGGACAAGGGCAGTGAAAGTGGATGTTAAATCCATTAAATAAAGCTTACACCCCGCAATAGCTGAGCACCTCTCGGCGATGGTCATTGAGGGTCAGATAAGTCCTCTTAACGCTTAATGAAAGTGAATCGGGTCCGTCACACTTGGGGTCTGCGACTTCAGTTAACCCAGGTGGTCATCGGTCCTGGCTTCTAACAGGCATCTGGGAGCTCACTGGGAGCATGTCATTTGGGTGGTGGTGGGGGGGGGGGATTTGGGTTGGGCAAAGTGATGATTACTCTCATTTTATACACAGGGGATTGGTAGGAGGGGGGCTGTTACAATGGCACGCAGATCACTTGTAAATGAGAGGAAAGTGAGATGTTACACCACTGCGTTTCCTCTGCATTTTCCTTTCATCCACATGGGATTTGGCAAGTGAGGATGATTTACCAGTGTGGAGCAGAAAATTGCAGCAACATTTGGGTTGCAACAGTGCAGGCTCTGATACTTCAGAGGGCATATTTCCTGGCATACTTAGCCGCTTGCAGATATAGGTTAATCTCCATTGTTTCAGTGGACCAAATCAGAGCCAAAATCCACATCCAGAGGGTATGGGGCTGATAAGGTACAATTTCTTTTTTTTTTTTAAATTTGCAAATCAAGCCAAGGGGAATGTTTAATTTAGGTAAAATTGACATATACTGTATGTTGTGGCTGTGTTTGATAACCTACCATAACATATGATGATGGAATCTGTGGCCATTAGGGCTAAATGATAATTAGATGGTAACAAATCAACAGGACAAGGCGATGGCCTGCAGAATCCATAAGGTGCCATTTAGTATGGATGGTAGTCGTAACAAGATGCTGATTAACTTAGTGCAAAATTAGTGATTGACCTTTCTAATCAACTAAACAAATCTCTAAGTCTCCCTAATCAGTATTGATCTGATCTCTTCGGGTGTATGACAAAGCCTGTGTGAATGTGTTTGTGTGCGTTGGTCAGCAAGCTTTTGAGTGAGTCAGGTTTTCTGTAGTAATGCTCTTTTGTTTATTTTCCAAAAATGAACAGCTATTGGAGTCTCTTTTGATCAGTCATAGAAAATCTCGAAAAGACAGATCCAGCAAAATAAACATTGTAATTAAGATCAACCACTTATTGTTACATTTTATCTGAGATACATAATTTCGTCTGAGTGTGTTTACAGTATATGACAATCTATGTGTGATTTTTGGGTTGTGAGGGTACCACTTTGGTCCGTCTATACTTTGTAAACATGGATGCTGGGCTCAAATCCAAAATGAGTTACAGGGAAAAGAGAACATGGATACGAAGTAGAAAACACAGGCTGGATCCCAATTCAGGATCTGCAGCCTTAAAGTACGCAGCCTCAACGATCCACAAGGGCCGCGTACTCAAAGACCGCTAAGGCCGGAAGTGCGAGGCTTGTGAAATGGGACGCTCTAGCCTCCGTTGCGCTGCCCAGGTTGCCTAGCAACCATGATACTAACAGCTGGAAATGTGTCATACAGCTGTGTTTGACAGAAATGAAGGAGAAAATCTTTTGTTCATTTGTTTGTTCCTACATGAGCTTTGATCATTCTCTGTAAGATTAAGCTCAGCTATTGGACGGCGTGTATTTTAAAGTAAAGGCTTTAAAACCAAGTTAGCACAAACGTCACTAATGTCACATAACTTTGCCGACATGTGGCCAACAGGAATGTTTTAATGTTCTTCGTTATTAAACATTTGCACATAAATAAGTGACATAATATTCAGCACTTACTTAAACTTTACTCTTCAGGCGCCCCTCATCCGCTGTTTTTTTCCGGCAAAATTATCCACACCCAGCGCCGCGCTATGCATTCTGGGATACGTTGGGCCACGAAGTCTACACCGCCACATCCTTAAAATTCAGGGAAATGAAGGACGCATTTGAGGGCCGCATTTCGAGCAGCCCTTGAATTGGGACAGCCTTCGTCGCGTCGCTGTGACATAATCGGCCTTAAAATGCGGCCTTTAAGGCTGCAGAGCCTGAATTGGGACACAGCCATTGACGTGCAAATGCAGTCTGAATGGGAGAAGACAAAGGCGGTCTTCAAAATTTTATTTATGTCTAGTCTACTCAGTCCTGCAATAAAAAGTGTGATTATTGTGCACTAACTAGATAACCACTGCAGACAGCTGTTAACATATATCTTCCCTTGCAATAGTTTTTGTCTTGTCTTTCCCCTCAAACCCCAACCAGTCATGGCATCTGGCTGCTCTGTCCTGAACCTTGTTCTGATGGAGGTCTCTTCCTGTTAAAAGGGAGTTCTTCCTTCTCACTGTCACCAAGTGCTCGCTTATATCTGATTGTTGGAGTTTACTCTCTAATATTGTAATGTCATTACCAAACAATATAAAGTCGTTTCAGGTCACTCTTGTTGTATGTTGGCGCTAAAAAATAAAATTGAATTGAACTGTGTGACTGAGAGATTTTGTACTTTACTTGAATATATCATCACTCCACAAATAGGCATAATTTTTATTATCCCTGTTGCATGAACAGCAGAATGCTGCACCACATTTAAGGCCATAGACTCTACTACGTTGCTGTTTTTTCTGTACATTGTAGTTGTCATATCTCTGAGCATTTATAAAAATTCTGTACATGAGTATATTACAGAAACATGCTGGAGGCTGCAGCTGTAACAGTGCTGTAAATTTTCAGTGGAATTGCAGAGTAACATTGCTCATGCAAAAGAGCCAAATCCTTTAAAATAATAGCAATAGTAGTAGTAGCTCTCTTGTTTTATACTGCAGATGCAAAAAGCTTCAACTAAAGTCTTAAACATACTTTTAGAACTTGTTTTAATAGAGGATTTTTATGAAACTGCTTGGGCTACTGCATTGTTAAAACATATGAGGAGTGTTAAGCTGTTTGGAACCAAAAATAAGAGAAAAAACGACAGAGAAATAAAAAGAAAAAAAATACAGACAGTTTTTGTGGATATTCTCAGATGTTAACTTTTTTCAAACATACTGGCTTTTGTTATCTTTTAGGTTGAGGTACTTTCAGTTTCAGCTGGACAGAGCCTGTGGTCTGTCTGCAGACAGTAACAGTATATTTACAGTTTGTTCTCGCTTTGCATTTTTTAAAAACTTTATCACTAACACACAGAGCCCCGCACGCTGCCAGCACTTCTCGTTTTATGAAAATAAATCCCACATTACTATTTCATAACTTTAATTTAATGTCTTTAATGTTATGATATTAGATATTTGAGTTTCTATCTGAGAAAGGGGAGGCTGAAGTGAACCGTAATTAATGAGACATTCAGCAGGGCGCGTAATCTCAAGAGAGGCACTGCTATCTTTGATCTGTTTTACAGGTTGAGCTCGTCACGGGTTGGAGAAATTGATAATAAGAAGGAGAGAAGCATTTCATGTTAAAAATGCAAATATTAACTGCTGCCCTTTTACCGTTCCTTCTGATGCTGCTTCAAATAATAGTGACACCATCTTTCTGCCAGTTTAAGGGTCATCCCAGTGTAATTGCTTTCCCTTGCCTAATTTTGATGGCTTCACTTCAATCTAAAGAATCCTATGTGTGGCCAGAGGTCCGTTGATGACTCCGTTTAGGGTGATTTGAAGAGATGGAAAATTGGAAAATGAACCCATCCCATTCCAGTTAGCATCATCTTCAACCTAATGATGGACACCTCAAGGTGACATGGCCCCCACGCCCAGATGCACCATTATCATTCCACCCTGGGCAACTCATCTAAATTACTAACTGCCCTGGCTTTTTCATTAGCCACATTGGGCAGAGGAGGCGGGGCCCCTCTGCACCAGCACACGCAGACAGCAAACAGGCGTTATGAAGGTGGGCGACTTTGTGCTTAAAGCCCATTTAAAATAAGTGCTGTCTGCTGCTCTGTCATCATTTATTTGTCTGATGTACAACATTTGTAACAGTAAAGAAGGCGATCTAAGCTTTGTGCTTTTTAAAATCTGTAGTTGAAGCAGAGAGGCTGATCGTCTTCTTATCTCGAGTAGAGTAATTACTGTACCAAGAAGCTGCCTCTGGGGTTTATGATGATGCTGCAGGAAACTGTCTGTAGTCTCTATATTCACACTCGGGTTTGTCTTTGATAGAAAAGCCTCAGCAATGATTGGTCTCCCAGAGAAAGCCATTTTAATAAAGGATCTTCAGCAGGGACGATTATGTTTCAAGACTCGGTGCCAAGATGCTGGCAAAACCTTGTTCACTGAATCCCACTTGAATACATTTCTTTATCTGGTGCTATAGTGACAGTAAGCGACTGTGTTGGTGTGTTGGTAGGGTTGGTCTTTTATTAGTGTGTGGATGTGATAAAATTGCTGTTCATTATACACATTTCAAATTAAATAGCTTACACTCTGTTATAATGGAAAATCTAAACGGGATGAAGACTCATCTCCTGTAGATACAATATAGAAGGATCTATTATGCTCTTTTCCAGCTCTTTTTTTTAAATTTTCACATTTTATTCTATTTTCAGAGTTGAAAATAATCCTCCTTACTGGGCTCTTCTCTTCTTTCCTCAATTCTCCCCTTCTTTCTGATTGGCCGCCCCTTAATAACATAACATTTTAATAGCAAGTGAGGCTGCTGCACTCACTGTGTATTATGTTTCAATTTCTTCTCATCTGAAGCTTCAGCTTCCACAGAGTTAAATTATAAGAAAAGAGGGAAGAAAACCAACAGATTTAAAACAGTTATATCCAGAGTTTTAACTAAACTAGCAACTCATAGTTTTTTAGGACAGTGTGCATCTTGTCTGAATAATGTAATATTTCTTGGGGAGGATGACCTGTCACAGCCCCGTACATTTATAGGCTGGCAACTACTAAGTTCATTGCGCAACCCTAACAATGAAGCCTTCACTCACTCAATTATTCATCTTAATACTTGAATGAGTATTATGTTTCTGTTAGTGTCTGTCACTGTTCATAACCTGTAATCATTTTTGCTTCTTAAATCACATACACATTAATACTTGTATACATGCATAGGTCTAAGTACCTGTACCTCACTACAGTGAGCCAACAATTTTGTAATCACAAGACTCTTTGGTAGTTACGTCTCAATTTTATGTTGATTTTCATGTCCTGGATGAACAGATGTTTGTATAAATTGCCTCCCGATGTGACACTGGAGATATTAAATACATGCTGTGCATTACTAACAAGCTTTTCTGAAGTTGTTAGAGCTGTAACCAAGTGTTGCACAAGACTGATTTGTTTCTGATTTTAACAACTTACTAAGAAGACTGTTGAAAGGTCTCTGACACTGTGCTGTAGTTTATCTAAAATATGTGTTTTCTTGTTTTCCAGCCAGAGAAATGACCAGAGGAAAGTTCCTAAACATCTTGGAGAAGCCCAAGAAGTGATTTATCTTTTTGTTTGGATTTCACAGTGATTGCAGTCGTTGCATTCACCAGTACGCTATGAACATGTTCAGACATTCACAGTCAAGTTCAAGGACTGCATTCTGATTAAATAGAGCCAAATGCTCACTAACATTGCTGATGTCTTCTCATCAGACTCCTCTGTACAACTGCTGTTCTCTAAATAATCTTTTTCTTTTTCTTTTGAAAGTTGTTGCTTTTCTCTGGATTTCTCTCTGTAGATCTACCTTGATTAAATGTTCCCTAATTATTCATACTTTTGAACATGAAACTTTTTTTTCAGTTTGTGAAATTATTTAATAAACTATTAAAATGAAAAGATCTTTGCTTTTTTTTTTTTTAAGAATTTAAGTCTCCTGTGACTTGATTACGTTTGCAGCCAAAGGAGCCAACTGTAGTGATGCAAAAGTTTTTAGAGACTGTTCAACTTCTTTTAATTAGGGCAATAACTTCATGCCTCTGCCACTCCACAGAGTGCAGCACCTCTCTGCTGTGGACATGTAAGGAGCTCCGACGTGGGAGTACTTTCTCGGCTATCGGGGCATGTTTTCTTTTTAATGAGCATTGGAAGCAGGGTCCCCTACACAAAACATTGCGTAAAAATAATATTGCTCATTGTCATCGCCGTTAATAAGAGTTGACATAATTACTAGGACCATTTCTTTTCTAATTAGCACACTTCAACGTTGTCGGAGCTAGCGGCCGGGCAAAAAGAGAATCAGACAGGCATGCCGAATGGGAAACAAAAAGAAGTCCATCCGCCATAATTAGGTAAGACAATGCCTCGGACTGTTCTCGGCTGGAGATGTCGCAGGGGCTCTGGCCGCTCACTCCCAACAAGTTACACTTCTCCCCAGGCCGGTAATAAGCCCCCAGTCGTCTTTCCGATTCACACGGACAGAGGCCGCCATTGCCTCTCTGGCTTCACCCCTCGTGACCTACACGGACCCTGGCTCACCCCTCCGAAAATATGTATTCATGCAGCACTTTGGCTTTGTCCGTGTTTCTTACTGAAGTGTCCTGGGACGCGCAGTCTGGCGAGCCGCTGACGCAAAGCGTGGACAGAAAAGAAGCCCAGCACGTCTTTATTTATGGCCTCAAGAAGCTGAAGGCCTGTGCACGCTTCTTAAGCTGGAGTTTGTCATTCGGGTGCTGAGAAACATTAGAAATAAAACCAGGGATTAAACGGAATAATTTAGATCTGATCCCACCAAGTGTCACCAATGACTTGTGACGCGGTGGCTTTATGAAGTTAAAACATTTACTGATAATTTGTAGATATTTTAAAGCCACAAAAAATAAACTGAGTGTTTCCAGTTTTATCGTCTCTATTCTCTTTTCGGAAGGCCTTCGTTTATTAATGCATTCAATAACTTTAAAGCGCATTACACTTCCTAGTTTGCTAAAAGGTGAAGTCCCTCTAGATATAAATATTAAAAACGACTTTCATATTATCTGTGAAAGCCCCCACACAAAAACGTGTAATAATGTTATTTCAAAACAGGACAAGTTAATAGTTTGTGAGGGGATTGGTTGAAATCATGCAAATTCTATTCATATTAAAGTGCAGAAGCTTAGATTATGCATTCTTTTATTTATGCTCTACAGAGTGCATTTGACGATGTTGTGATTCTAATCGTAGGCTGTTGCAGAACTTATACACATTATAAAAAAGTGCATTATTTTAAAGTCAGTGTGTCTGCATTTCCCGCATTTATGCATTCAGTGCAACAACTGTGCCCATTTGAAGTGCCCCTGCCGTCTGTGGGACTGGCTGAATGTAGACACCTGTTGATGCTGACTGGCGAACATTGATCAGTCTGCTGAGCGCTGACGTGTTAAACGAGCTGACATCCTCAATATGGTGTACGCACTGTGGCTTCCTGTCACCCGTATAGCCTCAGTCCAGCCAAGCAGTCTCTTCGAGAAACGGGTCAGTCCCCGCAGAGCTGGTCATCCATATGGAGGGAGAGAAAAAAAGAGAAACACTCCATCCATCCGCAGTGCGTTGCCCTGACCTCACGTAGCCTCTGTGCCCCGACAAACGTCAATCCGATGTGCCCCGAGTCCTTAAATTAGCTGTCAATTAGTGCAAATTAATCAACTCCTCGCCTAATTAAGCAATGCCGACGGGCAGCTACCAAACATGCCATTGTGGAGGAGCCATGAGAAAGCTGCGGGGCTTGCAAACTCTTTCAGTATACCGGAGGAGGAGGAGAGGGGAGGAGGGCATCGCATAACATCACGCCCTGGAAGTGCTTTGGGAAAGCAGAGGCTTTTGGCTGAGCTTTAGTAGTCGTCCCCCCCCCCTCCCTGACTCGGCGCTACATGTGCGCTGTCATCAAGTTGCCTGCACCTTGTTTCAACACCGAGCATTCAAACTGATTGAGCACCCACACCTCTTGCATGAGACGTTTCTGTTTTGTTTTTTGAACAGTTTGACAACAGTCAGATTGGACACCTCAAAAGAAAGCCACAGGCAGTCCATGTGACTTATCCATTCACCAGTGTGTGTGTGTGTGTGTGTGTGTGTGTGTGTGTGTGTGTGTGTGTGTGTGTGTGCTTCCCGTAAATACGCTGCATTGGCCTTTTTATTTTTAACATTTTAAATCTCACAGCTGTTTTAGCAGAGCCTCACCTTCTGCAGGCCACTCCTC